GCTTTGTGGGAGTCATCTCGTTCCCGCGCACTTAAATATAACACATGTCTCTTTCTCTAGCGTTTGAGTACTACAGCCTCCGTCTTATACTTGCTCATCCATTCCTCAACGAGGACAGACGTACGCGTTACCCGAAGCCAGAGTTCCTCCCTGTCGCGTGCCTCGACCAGCTTAGCTAGGTCGTTCGCGAATGCTCAAAATAAGCTTTGGAACAATGAAATATCTTTAAAATTCCAGAAGTAATTAATAGCTCTAATTTCAATTATTTTGGAGCAGCAAAATATTCGTACGCATAATATATACTCTTATATACTATACATTGTTAATGTGTGTATTAGTAGATACTAGATACAAGAAAATTGGAATCATACTTAAAGTATGAGTTACCACCTTATCCATTTTGCTTATCTGACGTAGTAGGAATGAGAAAGTCAATCTATTATATTGATATTAACTTAAGAGCGTAGGCGCAAAATTTCGGTCCAATGCTTTTTAAATGCATTAATTTATGCTATGGCACTTAGACGAATTAATACTTAAAACATCAATAAATAATGACTTACCATTGTAAAAATTTTAGAAGCTGGAAGATAGTGCGCGATATTACTGTTAGGTCTTTCAAAAGATATTCAGCTAAAACAATTACGAAATGTGCAAGATTTTTCAGCATTTCAAGGGCAGATGCGTTTCGAGCCATTCATAAAAGCTATTACTAAAAATGTTGCTGTGAAACTATCATCACTTGTACCATCAGTTGATCCCCTAAACATTTTAAAAGAAGTTACAGGCAAGTAAAAAACTCTTGTGTATAATGGTATTCAAATATTTAATAAAATATACCATTATACTAGAAGTCACTACTTCGCTGGTAGTTTTTTAAACTATGGTATACAGCCAACCACTAGGATTTTTCTCTTTTACTTTGTCATTTTAAAATGGTTTATTTACATTCTCATGTTGATTGGGGATGGATAAATCGCGAAAATGCATTACATCCAGTTAAAATTCTCAATAAACCTCAGATGAACTGCTTGGAATGATACATTGCAATTGCAAAAATGGATGCGGTACAACATCCAGATGTCGAAAACTTTTTGGGGCTTTTTGTAATGAAGCTTGTGCATTGTGCAATTTATTTTTTTTAATGTAAAATATTGTATTAAACATTTAATATATTAAACATTATTATTGTTTTTAAAATATATAATTTTAGTTTATACCCTTACAGCCACAGTATAAAATTTATATTTACAATTAAAAATATATGAAAAAATATAATTTTTTAACGTATAGTATTTCAAATTTGTTTTACAATTGTGATTTTTGGGGGTTTATTTTTTACGGTTGAAACAACCAAATATTAAAGAAATAATAATAAAAATGATTTTGAGAAAAGGAGATTTTGTTTTTTTGCACTCACAACATTGGGCAATTTGAAATTATACTAAACAATTTTTATATATTAATTTTTAAAGGGTGGTTTTTAAGGGTTGTATAAATACATTAAATCTGTAAGTAGAATTATAATTAGCAAAATAAATGTAAGCAAATAATACCATTTAAAATTTTAAAATATCGAAAAAATCATTTTTTGAAGAAATTTCTTTGTAAGGATAGTTTATAAGGGTTGAAAATATTAAATAGTTAAGAAATTAAATTGTAAACCTAAAATAAAGTTCAAATCGCTATAAAATTCATCATTACGTAATTCAAAAATGCAAAACAGTTAGTTTTTACAAATTTACCTAAAGGGTAGTTTTTAAGGGATGAAAAATAGTTAAAACTATAAAATACATTCCAATATGGGCAACAAATCTTTCCATACTCACACATAATTTAGATTTAAAAAACGCTTGCTAAAGACAAGATGAGCTCACTTGCAACATTTCATCTAAATTGAAACGGTTCTTTAGAATTCGGAGGTTTTGCAATATTTGACCATTATTGAATGGACTAGTATATCTATTGTAAATATCAAAGCACAAGAAGAATTAAAACTGTATATTTTTGTTAGTAGATGCAACTCTTTCACACGACTATGATTAAAGCAGTGAACGCGAAGAAGCAGACTGGAGAGATATATATTACCATGAACATATTCATAACTTAACTTACTGCTAGCTAAGGAGTTATACTTTAATATATAATATAAATTATCTTCACATAGATGTAACTTGAACCTCTTTCTTTTTAAATGCCCAACATTTAGTTCCGTACATCATAGCTGGTCTTATGGCTGGCTTATACAATTTTCCCTTCAACTTCATTGGAATTTTTCTGTCATACAACACACCACTCGCTTCCTTCCACTTCATACATCCAACTCTAATCCTACTGCATTCATTTTCAGCTATTTCCCTATTACCCAATAACACGGATCCTAGTTACTTGAAAATATTACTTTTTGCAGTAATTTCACCATCCAAAGATATCATTTCATTTGTAGTAAGTCCATCTTTAAATGAACATCCCAAATACTCTGTTTATGTCCTACTAAAATACAAAATACAGATTGCCATGATGGTCGCCAACACCCGAAACGGTTAGGCAGTACAAGAGGAAGATGTCCTACTAAGTTCTAAACCTTTTCTTCAAGAGCTTGTCCCTACTGTCCCTGTACTGCTGTACTGCTGTACTGCTTCTTAATGCGTCTGGCATTTGTACGACTTTCATACTTCTATTAAATAAACCTGTTAATCAACTTGATCCTGTCTCCCCTAATGCTCTCCGCACTTCCCCAGGAATATCATCTGGTCCAATTGCTTTTGCTTTCTTCATTTTTTTATGTGCTTGAAGACTACATATTAGTATTTAGAGAAAAAAATTACATAAGTTAGAATAGTTTTCAACTATCTACAATTTTCCATGTAGTATATAGAAAGGAGGCTAGCCGCCAAACTATCAAAGATGACAAACTTGCCTTACCCTTGATTAAAATAAGAAAAAACCGCATACGTTTGTTTAATGTGTAAAGATTAGTTATACTTTAAGAAATTGAATAAACTTTTTATTGTTTTCGCAATTTGGAGGTAATTTTATATTTTGTAAAACTGTGCAAAAATGCGCATAAAATGTTCCATATTCTTCCGTATATCATAAAACTGAAATTATTACAAATTTAATTTCTTCTTCTTCTTCTTCTTCCTACTTTATATAAATAGGCTTAATGCCTGATTTACTTCGGTTTTTAGCCTCAATTGACATTGTCTGGCCATCTTTTCCTCGGTCGTCCCAATGATCTTCTTCCTTTTGGCGATTTGTCTCTTGCTATTCGTGCTATTCTTTTTTCTGCATTCTTTCGATGTGTTGATTCCATTCCACTTTTCTTCTTTTGGTCCACGCGTTTATTTCCTCTATACCACATCTCGCTCGTATTTCCTCACTTCTTACTCTGTCTCTTAGAGTTTGGTTTGTTATTTTTCGTAAGACTTTCACATTTCTGTTGTTTTCAGCAGCCTTTGTGTTTTCGCCGTATCTGCTCTTGTTTCCGCTGTGTCCATCATTAACGGTCTTATTGTTAATTTATATATCCTAATTTTCGTTTCCGTTGTGAGGTATTTGTTTCTCCAGATTGTGTTGTTGAGACATCCTGCTGCTCTGTTTGCCATGTTCACTTGTTTTTGTACTTCTTCTTCCACTTTTCCGTAGCTTGACAGTTTTATTCCCAAGTATTCAGTTTCCATCACTTGTTCTATTATTTTGTTATTTACAACTAGTTTACATCGTCTCGGTTTCGCTGATATCACTATCGCTTTAGTTTTCTCTTTTGAGATCACCATGTTGTATATGAGCGCCGTATCTTCGAATTCTTTAATTAATCTTTGTAGGTCATCTTCATTTTCGGCTGTTATTATGGCGTCGTCGGCGTAGCATATTATCCTTATCTCCTTTTCTCCCATTCTATATCATCTTCTTTTTTTAATTTTCTTTATAATTTCATCCATTATCAGATTAAATATTAATGGGCTCAGCGAATATCCTTGTCTAATGCCAGTTTCATATTTGATAGGTTGTGATAGTTTTCCTTTACATCTTACTATAGCTATGTTATCTTTATATATATTCTCAATGGTTTTTACTAAATCCAGTGATATTCCCTTTTCCTATAATAAATATATCGCGTATTTCCTATAATAAATATATATAATAAATGTATCGCGTCCCGAATTCTCATTCTATCAAACGCATTCTTCAAATCTATCAGACACATATATGCTGGTTTGTTGTATTCCAGCGACTTTTCTTTTATTTTTCTTATTACAAAAATTGCATCCGTGCATGATCTTCCTGTCCGAAATCCTTGCTGTTCCTCTTGCAGAGATATTCGTTCGTTTATTTTTGTCGCTATTATTCTTGTTGTCAATTTAAGTGTTGTATTTAAAAGATTTATTGCTCGATAATTAATGGGATCTTTCTTATCTCCTTTTTTGAAGAAAATCACCATTATCGCTCTCCTCCATTCATCTGGTATTCTGTTAGTGGTGATTATTTTATTAATAAGAAGTTGCAGTTGTTGTACAAGGTGATCACCACCATATTTTAAGAGTTCATTTGGTATTTAATCTTCTCCTGGTGACTTTCGGTTTTTAATTTGTTTTTCCTTCTTTCACATCGTTTTGAGAGATTTCGGTCTTTTGATCAGTTATTATATTTGGCGTTTCTGGTAAAGGTTCTTCGTTTTGTTTTTTAAACATTTGTGTCAGGAAGGGTACCCATGTATCCTCTTGTAAGTGTTCTATTTCAACTAGTTCTTTCATTTCGCTTCTTTGTTGCCTTATGAAGCGCCATACTTGTTTCGGTTGTCCATAGAAATCCATCTCTAGTCCTTTTGAAATTTAATTTTCTAGGACAAAAATATAAATAAAATAAAAAGAAATTACATAAGATGTGTTTTAATTGTACGTCTCAGAGACTTTTCCACGTCAGTCATTACTGTTTAAATTTATACAGACACTATTAAATTAATTCACCTGATTTAATTAACATCTTTTTTGTTACAGGTTTGTGTTGTTCAAGAAACACTACGACAAATATTTACATTTGTCACAGAAATATGAGGAGGCCCGAAATATCGCCTATTATTTAGAAGAGAAGTACCATGAGGTCAAGGTGAGTATTTATTATTATTCATTAACTAGTTGGATGAAGCGTGGGAAGCGGTATTTTGGGAAAACTGTTGTAATTGCCAATGTTTATTCCTCGATTCAATTGAATGAAATACTTTTCTAAAATATGTTTGTTAACATTAAATTAACTCGTGTGATCGATTGCAACTTTCTTTTTAATTGATTCTATTCATATATTATATTGAAATTGATTTGATATGAAACGGTTGAGTATGTTCGCACGTGTAATGATGAAATTGGTTTATGAACAATTGATTCAGACAGATATTTGATGTAATAAAAAATTGTCCTCGTATTTTAACGAAGAAAAATAAAAAAAAAAAACTGAATGTAATATTTTAATAAAACCCTGCAAATTATGGCTTTGTGAATAATCTGAACTAAAATGACCGTAAGCTAGTTATAGGTGACGATAAGCTAGTTAAAAAAATACTAATTACTTTTCCGCCTTGCTCAGAAAATATGGGCTTCAAAATAAATGGGAAAAAACCGAAGTGATGAACATCAACAAACAACAACAAATCCAGAAAATATTCTTTGAGGTTGCAGACAAATTTACATAAAACCTGATGAAACCTAGTAAAACATTTTTACCTGGTGACCAATGAGTACTCAGTAGCACAAGTAGTCTAGCCAATAAGTAGGTACTACTTTACGGTGAGTAAACAACTTGAAATCAGAAATTTAGACCAGAAAACAAAAATTGCAGTATATAAACCTCTTAGTGCAGCGTTTCCCCAAGTTTTTTGGTCGAGGTGCAGTATTCAGAACAGAAATTCTGTAGGGAGCACTTACCGAATTGCACCTGAATATTAAATGGGGGGGGGGGCGGTATATTAACCATTACATTTTCTATTCACTTTATTCAATTTTTTTTCAATCGCAAATTACATATAACGCAAAACAAAAATAAAATGAACACAGATTCTATTTCTAAAATCTTAAAAAACGTAATACCTTCATTTTAATGTGAAGAATGAGGCTGCCTTGATTTGCACAGGTTAGTAATATCCGGTTGAATTTGGGATAACTTATATATTTTGTTTTAGTGGCCACATTGGCAGAGAATGCTGCTTCACATAAGTATGTTGTTGCAAAAGGGAGAAGAATAATTTTCGCTTTATCTGATAAAACTTTAAATTCGTCTTTGAGTTGACACCAAAAATCTACTAGCGATTTTTTTCAAAATGGGAATTGCAGGAAATGAGGAATCTGACAGCCTCGCAAAAGAAGGAGCTAATACCCCATTCCAGGGTCCGGAACCCTTCTGTGGACTATCAAAAAACCACATCAGAGAGGAACTCCGTACCTGGGAACTCAATCAACTAAGATCATATTGGTCTAACATACCAGGACAAAGGCAAGCAAAAAGGCTCATAAAAGTGACGCCTACTGCAACAAACCGCCTTCTCGAAATGAGTAAGAAAGATATCAAAATGGTCACTGGCCTTCTCACTGGTCAGTGCCCTCTGAGATATCATCTCAAGAAGATGGGCAAATCAGATAGTGAGAACTGTCGTTTCTGTCACAATGAAAAAGAAACGGCAGAACATATACTATGCAACTGAGCTATCCAGATTTTTATTTTTCATCGATTCTGCCCAAAAAATTAATTTCTTAAATATGCCAATTTAATTAACCAATGCTCTACACAATCGATCACCCACGGCAAAATTGCTGTCGATTAGAAAGGTTCTAACTTCAGCTCTCATTTCAAATTTCAAAGAGCCTAGCTAACATTTACCGCGAAAAAGCCACCTCACTTTCGTATGGAGAAGTAAAAAGGATACATTGGCTACTGCTGCATTCCTTGGCTTTTTCCTTTATTCTTGAAATGACGCCCGACGTTCTTCCAGTCATCGCTTTTACACCGTCTGGGCACACATCGACGCAGTTATCCGAGGAATGCTATTCTCTGTGAAAAAGCTTTCTATTAACTTGAAAATTTCGGCATCAGTTGTGTTAGTTGTCAATGGTTTGCAAAAAAAGGAGATCTTCTTGAAAAGACTCCAAGTGCCGGTACCGCACAACTGCTATTAAAATTGCCAACCCAGCTACATGTGTTGACTCACCTGTCTATAGTGACAACTTGGTAGATTTTGTTCGAGAAAGTAAGGCAGCTTTCACATCCTCTGCAAAGTATCGGATGCGGCGCGAAATTGTACTATTTGACAAAGGTACCGTGCTTACTAGTTTCTTGGGTTTATCGTCCAACATACATTTAATTATGTCCTTGACGTACGGCTTTATGAGGGTTTCAGCGATGGTGTGAGCTTCACCTGCTTGAGCAACGCGGTAACTGACTAAGTAGGACGCCATCAAAGCATTTTTGTTAACTGTTTTTGAATGGTAGGTTACATTTTTCAGGCATGTGTCAGTTTTCCATGTTATGATCATCATCATCCCGTAGCGCTACAACCCTGGGTGGGTCTTGGCTGACTGTACAACTTTTTTCCAATTTTGCGGTCTTCCATCAACCTAGGGTCAAATGGAATGTTCATTTTTCAAGTATTTTTCGTTCAAAGCGTCTGAGCTTTTCTTCATTTGCTTTGGTTATGGTCCACGTTTCGCATCCGTATGTTGCGTATCCGTATGTATGTTATTACAGGTCTGACGATGGATTTATAGATTTTGATCTTTGAACTTCTTGTGATATTTGCCATGCTTCCTTCTGAAGAAATCAGTGGGTTTTCCATTACATTCTGGATGCACCTTTTTAAAATGACTTATTTTAGCTGGAACCATTGAACTGTTTGGCAACACTTTGCTGCAAATTACGCACTGTGGTTTGTTGTTACCTTTCTCAGCGAATCCAATTTTTAAGTAGGAATCATTGTATTTCCAAGAGAGGGAATAAAAGAGACTGTTCCAATTATAGAGGTATTAGTGTGACGAGCTCTGTGGGCCGGTTGTACGGCAGAATATTAAAGAAGAGGGTTGAAGGACAGATACAAGATATTGAAGAACAAAGCGGCTTTCGTACCGGGAGATCCTGCCTTGATAATATATTTATCCTACGATAAATAATTGAAAAGCGTGTCGAAAGAAGTAGAGAGACCCATTTGGTACTTATAGACCTTGAGAAAGCATATGATAGTGTCCCGTTAAAGAAAATGTTTGAGGTCCTCAAAAGGTCCGGATTGGATTCGACGTATATCCGAGCGATATATAAATTGTACGAAAATGCAGTTAGTTGTGTAAAAATTGGAACCAGAACCTCAAATGAATTTAAAGTCACTAAAGGCCTAAAGCAAGGATGCTGTTTGTCACCGACACTCTTTAAAATATACGTCCAAGAAGCATTGAGGAATTGGAGAAATAAATGTAGATTTATGGGCATCGAAGTGGGACAAGAAACTCTGTATACATTGTTGTTTGCAGATGATCAGGTGGTGGTTGCAACCGATGAGGAAGATATAAATTATATGAATCGAAAATTATTTGAGGAATATGCCAAATGGGGGCTTACTGTAAACATAAGCAAAACAGAATATTTAAAAATTGGAGGAAATACCACAGATCTGAGGCTTGAAAACGCAGTCATAAAAGGCTGCAACCAGTATAAATATCTAGGAAGCATCATATCAGCAGATGGCAGAGTTAAGATAGATGTACAAAACCGAATAACCCAAGGGAAAAAATGCATCCGAATACTGAATTCATTACTGTGGTCTAATAAAATAAAGATGCATACCAAACTTCGCGTATACAGAGCAATTGTAGAACCAATTACCACATATGGTGCCGAATGTTGGACGATGACAAAGAATGAACGAGATAAAGTAGACGTTGTGGAAATGGATTATCTTAGAAGGTCATGTCGAGTATCGAGAATGGAAAGAATCAGGAATGAGGAAATACGAAACCGTACAGGAATTAGAGATACTCTTTCAGTTAGAATACAAGGAAGGCAATTACAATGGTATGGTCACGTGATGAGAATGGAGGAGGAGCGGTGGCCAAAGAAAGCCTTAATGTATGTTCCGCCAGAAAGAAGGAAAAGGGGAAGACCACCAAATTCCTGGAGAAGAGAAATTACAAAAACAATGCAATCTAGAGGCTTAGAAGAGGGAGATTGGAGAGATAGGAAAAGATGGAGGCCCCCGTTATGTGATGATGATCATTGTATTTCCCTTTTATCGATTTTTTTCCTATGGATTTGATATTCACAGAAGAAAAAGGCAATTCGTTGAACACTTCTGGCGCATTTTGATAGTGCCATAGGTAGCCAATAAATGTATTGTATTTTTCAATAATTTTTTTTCACTTCTATTGTGTATATAAGTACTGTTTTTAATAACGCACCATTTCTGCTCTCCATTGATATATTTCACAATATTTCGATATAAATATTCATTAGTTCAGAAAGCCAGAAATTTATTATAGTTAATCAAAATAAGAACAAACTCGTAAATAGACCAATTGCTTTAAAAATGTATTAAAATGTTATCCTATTTTCATAACTTTTTCTATTATCCTCTCCATGACTTTTATGGTGATCACGTTTTCTATGAAATTCCTTGCATTCGAAACGCTTTCATCTTTAATTTACCATCCTATACATTTTGCCAAATAACGACAGCTTAGATCTCTTTCTGGTTATGATGCCTCATAATACATTTTTTTGTTTTCTCACGAGATGTCCGAACCTGAAGTACATAAATTTTCTCTTTTTGTAATATAACTTTCGATTTATTATTTATTTGGCATATTAAATCTGCATATTGTATTCTTATACATATATGAGATATTTGTCAATACATATTATATTCGATATTCAGTGGTATGGCAACATTTTAAATATTTAAAAATATCAATCTTAAGAACTGTTGTTGTTTTAGAAAATTCAAATTAACACCATAACTATATTCGAAATATATGTTTTAATATTAATATTTATATTATTATTAATATTAATATTAATATTTTCGTGGAAAATGCTTGTATATTGAGTCGTATAATTCCAATGTGCGTGAACTCCAC